ATCAATATACAGAAGTATTTTTAAAAAAATGCGCAAAGATTTACTTGTTATAACAAAAAAGTTGTCATATCAACAATATAAATTCATATTAAAAGACTGCAAATGCATTTCAGTTTGTATAGTGCATAGAGACTCCAAGGCCAAATAAATAAAACAGGATCTAGGTAAGGGAAATCTTTATCAGTGTTCAGCCCTCAAGTGAATCAGTTTATGCATCCATACTGCCCATTGCTTTTCATTTGGGTTTTAAAAGTTCTACAAATTAACGCTACAAAATGAAGCATTAATAGAAAACAAACAAACAAGCACAGGTAAGACTGTATCTTCCCCTCTCTTCCAACAAAATACCCTGAGAGAGCCTTTCTAATGTTTCTAAACCCATAAAAGCTGAAAAAAAAGAATTTATTACCATTTCTCTCTTTTATTTTTTTAATCTTTCTCTATTTTACGCACACTTTCCTCTCAAAAGAGGAATGGCTATTTGAGGCTGTGCAGCTGAGGAGATGCCTTTTCTTTTCTCTTGACTAAGGAGCTTGCAAATGCCACCTGGCCTTTGCCTGGCTCTCTTACATTGTTGCTGAAGGGAGGAACATTTTTGAGTATATTTTTCCCTTAAAAGGCTACTAATGTAATCAGTGGGTTTTCCATTAGCTGTGTAATTTTTATTTGCTGAATATATGATGCAATAAATTGGTGCATTTCAAATTAGAGCAGCTAGCACTTCTATAGCAATACGTAGAGTCATAACAGCAGTATTACAACCGCATAAGACACAGAAAATGCTCTGCTGATTTATCCTATTACCCTAAAAAAATTTAGCTGCTCAAGACTTCCTCTGTGTTTGGATGGGGACTTGTTAAAGAGTATGCTACAGGAAACAGGACTGCCAACTGGACCAAAGACCAGCTGCGTATTAATGCAAAAGTTGCAGTCATATGAACCATATAGCCACACTTCTAAAAGGTCTGTCTTCTATACAAATTAAAATCCTAAATGTACTCACCTGTGGCACTCACAGACTGGAGGGTAGTTTGTGCAAGAGTTGGGAATTAGCTCAGTTATATTCCTCTAAGATATTGTCTCCTTTTTGCTTGTTTGCTTTCAGCTGTTCTGAAGTATTGCTGTTGTAATTTACTCACACGGTGTTTAAATGCTTAGGCTATTTAGAATTACAGCACAGTAGCAGAGTCATTTGGAAAGGCATTTTAAAGACAGTCATATCTTAAATACTCAGAATATACCTATATTTCTTCTGGGCTTAAATGACTCTATGTAGAAGTTAAAATAAACTCATTTTATGACTCTTCACAGCAAATTGCGAAACTGTTAATCTTTCATTTAAATAATGATAATGATTTCCCTTTCACCTATTCTTTGGTAAAAAAAAAAATGGCTGTGTGTCACATTTGCCTAATCTGCTAGAAAAAGGCATTTTCTTTGGTGAAAACAATTTTTTGATGCAATGAGTTCTGCTTTATAACAAGTCTTCAATATTCACTTTTAGATAATGGGCCCATTTTGCATTACCCATCCATTCAGTGAACACAAAATTAGTCCCAATTTAGGGCACAAAAAAATCAAGCAGATCAGTCATAAAATAACTGCAAGCATGGTTGCATAAAGATTGCCTTTCAGTAGCAAAAGGCCAACATCGATCTTACTGACAGCAAAGGTCTAAATGCAGTATACCAGAATACAATGTTGTCTGTATAAAATTAGTATTTTCACAGCCATTTTAAAAGCATCTTATTTCTCACAAGTAAGTATAGAGAGGTGTATGTAGACACACAGGGGATGTTTAAAATGCATAGCTGCATACATCTTCTGGAGCTTTGTAATGGTAGCACAGCATTCCACTTCTGTTGGCTTAAATCTGAATTAAAGAAGAAAAAGCACATTATGACATGAATTATTTTATTTCTCTTTCCCCTTATTTGTTTGAAACTAAACTTTCAGTTGCACATTTATACTTGGCAAAATTTTCGAATGGTCCAGTCTGAGAGGTGTTTAGGTACCTACTGAAACTGGATTCACAACCTGGTGAGTCCTTGGTAATTCAGTAAGAGCCATGTGCCAAAATGGCTTGATAAAAACAGGAGCTTGAATACAAAATGGAGTAAGTCCTTGCTAGTCTGTCACAGCAACCATCTGAAAGCTCAGCAACATGAGAAACAGGAGAAAATACACTCTTGAAACGGATTGTTCTCACTCGTTTTCTTATTTGTTACTCTCCCCATACAAGCTTTACCTGACAGTATTCCCTGTCTGTAGCACACACAGGTTATGGAAACAGAATCACACGGAATCACAGAATGGTGGAGGTTGGAAGGGACCTCTGGAGATCATCTAGTCCAACCCCCCTGCTCCAGCAGGGACACCCAGAGCACAGGGCACAGGAAACAACCTTCCTTCAAGCGGAGGGCCTACGAGGAAGCGCTACCAGCAGCGACACCAATGCAGAGGCACTCGCATCGGTGCCCCTCGTGTGACAGATGGGGTGGCAGATGCAGAGAGGAAGTGGCAAAGGGAAGTGGCTACTGTGCAGGACTGGTCCCCACGGGGCAGAACAGCCGCTGACGAGCATGTTCAGCTGGCAGGAGTTGAAGAAGGCTGTAAGTGAATGGCAAAGAGGGTAGGGAACCAGCGAAGCTCCCTGTACAGCTTCCGCAGGGTTAGTATCTTCTGCTTTCTTCTGCAACTAATCCCTTCATATAATAAGCTCTGTCTTCTTATCTAGAGTTCTTTAATTCGTTGTTTCACATGTCTGGTAACAATGCCAAATTTTCCCTATTTTGGATTCTCCTCTTGCTATTTTACTTGCATCCTTCCTCCATAACCTAACTCAGCATCCAAAATTATAGCTTGAGATAGCAAGACTTCAGCTTCATCAGCAGTCCTTATGGATCTCAGCATTTACATTAGCATTCACAGAAGTGTTTCATGACTAAGAATGAAGTGATTAATTAGGTTAGTATGGGCCTTATTTTAAAGAGCTGAATGGATGTACCAAACTATTAAACTGCAGTGGTGATAATGATGGTAGTATTCAATTAAAAGGTGCTGGACTTACTCTCTTACTGTGATTAAATCAGCAATCACTATAATAACTACAGTTTTTGTTTGTTTGTTTTATAAACAGTAATTCTACTACACTGCTCCCACAAACAGACTGGGATGGCATAATGCATTTTATGATCCTTTTAGACTGTCTAAGGAAAAAGAAATCTTCAGGCTATTTCATCCCTTACTTACCTCCTTTTAGGAAGGGGTTTATATTCTCCTGTGCCTAGTGCTGCTGCTTTCCATGCCATTGCTTTCTTCTGATTTACTGAAAGAAATTAAATTCCCAAACATCTTTCAGAATGTAGGACCAGCAGTTCCACAATCAAATCATAGAGCACATCTAGAATATATTTGATTTTTTTTTGTCTTCTGATTTATAAAAGAGAAAAAAAGAATTTAGAAACAAATACACTGACTTAACTTTCAAATAATTAATGAAGGCTCAACACAAAAAGGCTTCAAAGTCTGGGGAAAAGTTGTAAGAACAGTTACAATAATTGCATTAGTATAGTGCTGTTTGTTATTTCATTCCACATGGTCTGAAAGCATCATCTCAGATCATTGCTTCTTTTGAAGTATTGGCAATTCACTAACATGGTGCCGCTCACAGATACGACTTGGTCTAGGTCTGCACAGCAGGTCTTTCCGGCTGACAAGTCACCACCCTCCTACCTGCTGTTGGATACACACCTGCTCCCTATCTATCTTCTGTGTGACATTCTAATGACACTTCATCAACCAAACTCAACTGTGTTACACAGCATCACTTGACATGGTGGAGCAGAAGTGCTCCTTTAGAGGCATCCCCTCTGGCTTACCAATCTAGGCAGAATTACGTGGTTTAATAGATTTTTCTCACAGGGATTTAACTAACAAGGTAGAACTCCATAAAGATCAATAAACTTATCAAGTCCCATGGCTTCACAAGTACGCCACATCTCATAAGGCATGGAAACATATCACTAGTGCACTAGTGACAGTAACAGTTTTAATGCAATTTCAGGATGTTTATAAGAAGCAGGACTATGCGACACAAGCAGTTATTGAATTCTCAACTTAAGACATATCCCCAAACGTTCCAGAGTATAATAGGATACTCTATTCCCAAGATATATTCCCCTTATAGTATAACTGAATTACAGTTTTGTAACTGCTTAGAGAAGAAAAGCAAAGGAAATAAATAAAAAACATTTTTAGCTAGCATTGAGAAAAGAATGGGGAAATGAATACAGCACAGGATAACAGAAAAGTTCACAGCAACAAGAGATTCAAAAGAAGATTGGTACCACTCAGAGGGACAAAGCAGGATCAGCATAGGAGGGAAAAAGGGCTTGAGAGAGGGAAAGCTGGAGAGGGTTGTAATGTACATAAAGAGAACCGCAACTACTGAAGGGCATCTTGAAAGGAAATAAAAGGTAACAGAGGCCAAAGGAAATGACTGCGCTTTGGGGGTGGGTAGAAGGGGAAGGAAACAGTTTCTCAAAAAACGGAAGGTTAGCAAACCTTTCACAATCAGGTATTATTTATACCCGACACAGAAAAATAATGCCAGATGCCAAAGTTTCAGTAACTACACTTGAAAAATTATGTTTTGACCACATATTGGCAAAATTTAGATGCAGGTTAACATGAGCAAATCATGCCTGAAATACTCCTAAAAAAGCTTTTCTGGAAAGTTTCTACTTGAAAATGATTAGTTATAATCATTTAGGCAAAAGACTTAGTTATAGCCTTTTAGAATGAGTTTACACCAAGGTCACTTGGTGCTCTGACAATAAACCAAAAAAAATTCCAAAACATAACATTAAGTACTAGGCAGAAAACAACATTCTGCACCTCATGGAACTAAGAAAGCTTAAGGACTATAACTTTCTATAGTACACTGGAGTATGCAAAAGAGGAAATTTTTAAATACAGTATACAAGTTCATTACTCACAGTTGCTCCACTTGTTCAAATTCTTTTTCATCTTCTGCATAACAGAAAAAAAGGATTATATAAATCTCTAAGTTTAACATACACATTAAATAATTCAAAGAAAGAATAATTATGTGCATAAAATAAGTGAAGCAAAACAAAATCCTTGTTTGATACTATTTCTTTGTACTAAACTTATTATTCAAATTATCCTGCTTCTCTGCCCATCTGGAAATACCTACAAGTTTATCAAGAACTTGATTTTGATCAGGCTCTATAAATCTGATTTTTTCCTGTACATTCCTGTATTTCACTTTTGTTTGATTCATTGCATCCAAGTTGACTGGCATATGTGTGCCTTTCAGCAACAAAGATTAGTGCATTCTGTTTTAATGTCTACATTTTCCTCCTTGCACATTTTCCTTCTCACACTCTCACCAAGATAAATAACATTTGGTTTCATTTGCAAGTATCCCATAAGCAGGTATAGCCTCCTAATGTCTTCTTTTATTCTAAAAACAAAGTTAGTAAGGACTGAGAGTTAGTACCAGACCCTTTAAGGGAAACTTATTTCATATTGAAAGCACTTCCTAGTTGAATTTGAGACTCCTGTAGCAGATTTTAAGGCTTAAGTAATGCAATATTCTAGGTACATAATTGTTTTATAGGAGAAAACATACAGAAGTAGCTACTAAACTGAACTTACATGAAGGGGTATGAGCTGCCTTTTACTTTTGCCTGTAATTTCAAATGAAGAGCTCTAAGGCACTAAATTCAATATATTACATTAAAAAAAAAGAAATCCTACCTGCACTCTTCACTTTCTTTTTGGAATATACCTCACAAAGGAAAATAATGGCAACAAGAATAACAACTTCAGCCACTATTGCTAGAAATGGTGTGAGTGGCACCATGAAGGTGAGAACTGTAAGCTTCAGCTTTCCTCTACTTTTTCCTAGCTTAAAAACAGCTTCACACCAGTAGGCACCACCGTCTTTCTTGGTGAGCTTCAGTATCTTGAGATGGGTTGTGTTGGCAGGTACTCGATCAATTACATATTTGTCAGACAGCAAAGATTCATTAATGGCAATCTAAAAACAGAAAAATACATTAGGAAGGCTTAATGAGAAAGTGTTTCATCAAATTTTGTTATCAACATTTGTAATTTTATATCAAATTCTATCTAGAAAGATCTAAAATGAATTAAGAATAAATGTCATTTGTAAAGCATTTCTTTAAGGGAGGGATTTATCTTAGCTACTTACCCTACTAGTAGCTACTTACTTTATAATCAGTGAAGGAAAATGCACTTTTAGGGAGCAAATCATCTGACCTACCTTGCTTAATTCATTTGGGATGAGATGAGATGCCTTTGACTCTGTTGATTCCCCACTGACAAAAGCAGCCTTACATGTTAAGATCTGATGACCAGGGTTTACCACAGGACAAATAATATGCTCCAAAGGAAGCGGAGCTGGGAATGCCCCTGCACTGGGAAATGAGTCAATATCGCCTCAAGAGTCAGCGCTGCGAAGGCAGTGCAACATTTTCCCTCCAGCAGTGCAGAGGAGGCCGCATCTCTTTGCCTCCACTTCACAGACGGTGCTTCTCCCACTAGAGGCCTAGAACAACGCGGCCCTGCTGCCAAGGCTAGTGGGGATCCTAGAAGGAGTGAAACTGCCGAGCTAGAGCTTTCCAAAGCCCTCAGCAGACAGCAGTTGAGAAGGTTACACACTCCTCCACAGCAGAACTTCTTTCAGGCCCAGTGCCTCAAAGAGGTGACACTGGCTGGGAAATACACGTTAGTTAGGAAAATAAGGAAGAGGCACATGCTTAGGTTAGGTCACTTTAATCTTACTAACATCGCAACTAAAAAGGGTTCTGCTATGAGATTGCCTGCTATCAATGAACGAGCTTCAAGAAATAGAGCTACTATTAATATAGGAAAAACAAACACCTCAAGACTAATCTGATTTGTTTTATTCTTATCTGTCTTTAATTTTCTCAGGGAAGGAACTTAGTAAGAGGAACAAGCTCCCTTCTTCAAATACAAACCAGAATGAATCAAACCAAAATGAACACCTTTATGATAACCAATATTTTCAAATGACATATATGACTTTTTTTTCCATGTTCAGAGGTTTACATTAACACTGATGGAAATGCAATTTGTAGAACCTACAGCTAGAAGCCATTATACCTTACAAACTGTTTGTACTTGTTTATTGCCATATTATTTTGTTTGCTGAAAAGACGGGAATCTTACCTGTTCACTTCCGTTAGTCAGGTACCAGTTCCAAGTGCTGGGAGTATAATTTGAACTTTTACATATCATCACAACTTTATCTCCTTCATAACTGATTATTGTTTTTTCTTTTCCTTCAATTTTTGGTACTAAGAATAAGTAGAAAAAAAAAAAGTGTGTAAGACCTACGGGTTTTAACTACAATATTAAAAAAGATGAAACATCTGATCCATTTCCTTTCCTTGAATAGCTCATGGATAACTATGTCATTTGGGAATTATGATTTAATGAAGATTCATTTCAGGCTGATGTTCTTCATACGGAATTTCTCCAGAAGGCCACAGGAATCCTGTTTTCAGTAGCCAATCTTGAAAACTAAATGAGAATCAGATTGTGGCAGCTTTTCCTCCCTGCCCTCTACAACAGCTGAAAACTACATTGCTTCAGTTCTACTGAATTTGAAATGATTTTTTTTTCCTGCAATTTTACTCTATCAGCAAAACTGACAGACATCTATTCTAGCTGTAATGTTATCAGCAAGTTGCATGTGCAGAGTGTGTTTTTTTAAAATTAACTAAGACAAACTGCGAGAGTTGAAAGCTTTGCAGCTCTATATGTTTTCTTTTCTGCAGGCATGAGTAAAAGTTTAATCCTTCTTAAAATCTGCAGTGTTGTGCTGGGCACAGATGAGGGGACAGAAGGCAAGGGGAGAGGGGTGGCACACATCCAAAAATACCTAGCTCTTGCCTAAAGGAAATACCTTTGCAGAAGGTGCTTGACAGTAGTGATGATTTTAGCCACTGTATATAGTAAAAAGGTCTACCAACACATTAGCCATCAGTGGGAGAATCACTCTCACTGCATGGGAATTCTGATGGGAAGACTCAAAGCTCTCCTTCCCACCTTCTTTACACTATTAATCTTGAAAAATGACAAGCCACCACTTGGTGTAGCATCAGACAGGGCTACATTTGACCAGTGCTAAGCAACTCTCCCATCTTGTAGTAAGTCAGCCAATTCTACACACAGAGCTCTAGAAAAAGCAACTTCCCTATCAATAAATTCTTGCCCTTATTAAAGTAGCTACCTTCGTGCTTTCAGAGAATAAGGCATCCTTTGACTTAAAATCAAAACAAGAAAACTATAGACTTGCATAGCTGTTCAGCTAAATCTTACCCACATGTTGACAAGAAAAATACAGAATCATTTTTAGAGATGAAAAGGTCTGAATAAATTAGTACAATTCTGCCTTTCCACAGTATTGCCAGCTCGTCTCCTCTGGCTGAAGGTTTGAAAGCAGATGTCAGCATTGCTATCTAAGATGTGAACATACATGAAAGAGTTTCCTGAAGATGCATGACCAGGTACTCTGTTGAACAAAGCCAGCTTGCTGCACTGAGAATTACAGAACCCTGCTTTCACTGATCAAATGCCTGCCTTGATTACTTGATTGTCTTTTTTTTTTTTTCCCTTTTCTTTTCCAAAAACTAGACAACAAGACAAAGGGGAATAGTTCCTGTACAAGCTGAAGTCTTTTTTAAAAATTAACTGAATTTCACCTATTATCATCCATGGTGAAACTAGAGCAGAAGAAAGGGCTAGCAGGGGAAAGGAACAGAAGGAAGATCCAGGTGCTCAGCTCTTCTCTCATATTACCTAGTGAGGCACATTCTACCTGAATGCACAGCATGTTCTTGCATGTGCTATGAAGATGCACTTGAGCAGTTATTTTTTGATTCAGAAACAACTGATTTTCTCCACCAAAAATGTGCCTCCATTCTACCAGGCATCATTGATCTTTGGCTGATTGAATTTCAGAAATTACATGTCATTGGCTTTGTTTTTTAAATAAAAGATCTGAGACTCCTTTAAAATATTTTTGTTGTTGGCTGTTTGCCCTCCTCCACCCCAGAAAGCTGGAGGAACAGGGAGGAAACCTGTTCTTCCTTTAGAAGAATGTAAGCATACTTGCTCCTTTGTCTGTTACCAAATTTCGATAAAAAGTGCTTTTGAGTTTTTCTTTTGAAGTTTTTGTTCCCTCTCTCCAGGTTACAGAAATGGCATTTGATAGAGATTCCCATTTAGTTTGACTCCATTAGCCACTGCTTATCAAACTAAATTGCAGTTTCCATACTATCCAGAAATGCTATTAATGGAAGATTTCAATGGAAAAGTGAAATAGTAAAATTTAACAGGACTTGCCTTGTAAATGGAACACAGCTTTGAATTCTTCTTTACCTTTAAGAGTACAAGTGTAACTTCCCAATTCATTTTCATTTGTGACTGTCAATCTGAAATATAAGAAGCTTCATCGTTTTGCTCTTTTGTTTATAATTCTTTGCTCTTAGCTATTTGTAGTAGTTATAGAGAAGCCAGAATAGATCGGCAATGTAACACAGAACATACATGGTTGAAACACTAGGATTAAGGTTTTGTTCGATCTAGAAACAGCATGACATTTTTCGGAAAAAAAAAAAGAAAGAACAGCAAATGGTTGCTCCAGAATACGAACAGCATTTTCATCCTTATTGCTCACTGGCACCCAGAGAAGACAAAATGTCTTTTCAGAAATACGATCCAATAGAATAAAAATATTTAATTGAATGTAGCTTTGCCATGCAAAATTTATACCATGAGCTGTAAATGACATGAAACTCCTTTAAGTTAAACAGTGCTTTCTCAAAGCCTTTCAGTCAATCAGTTAATACCAACACAGCACAGTTTTAAATAACTGTCCTCCAATAATTTGACAGCAGAGGAAATGCTGGACTCCATCTACTTCACAGGCACTTGGAATAGAGTTTACATAGGTTGTGCATACGAAATAGCAGAACAGTGCTACAATGTCCCCATGTTTTCACTGTAGAAATTTTATATGGACATTACTGAGATTGAGAAACTGAAAATATACAGAAAACAGCATGAGACTACCTGGCTAATACTAGGCCTTTTACAGATTTTCAGAGTCCAATTTTAAAATGTATAAATAAAGAATATTCTCTATAACATTTCTAGAGAATCCATAGAGGAAGAGATAAGAAAAGCTTTACAACAATTTAAATATTATTTTCTGTAAAGGTGAATCCTTCTTTTTTCATTTTGTTGACAACGTAGACAAACTGACCAGTGATGCCTTTCAGAGTCTTCTGAAAGGCACAGATTGTTGGGGGGAGAATGGTGATGAACGGTGGGGTTAGTTAGCAGCACAGCAGGCAGAGATCACTACTTCAACTACTGAACAGAAATACAAGCTGGAAGAATCAGATCCTTATCCTATCCTGCTGTCTGGAAGAATGCTGTTTTTTCCAGCACTAGAAGAAACAGGAGCTCTTTCTCCAGGCTCAAAGTAATTGCAATCTTCCTTCTTTTCCTTCATTATCAATACGCTGATTACAGCTATCAATTTAGCAAATGTATTTGGTTTCGACTCTTTTCCAAAATACAACATCATTAGTTTTTGGCTGTGTATACACACACGGTATACTTCACCAGAACCTACAAGTGAAACTGCCAAGACTACTTACCGGATGCTCCAGCTATTTTCAGTTTTATTGATGTGTTTGATAGTTTCATTTCCCTTCTTCCAAGCCACTTGAACAATTTTCAAATGAGGATATTTACTGGGCAGGCTGCATGAGAGCTCAACATTAGCTGGGCTGTCCAAAGTGATATGTTTTTCCAAAGAAGTACTAGAAACACCTAACAAGGGGGAGAAAAACAAACAAACAAACATCATTTTCATTTTAGGGGAAGAAAAGTCTGAAAGATTCTGTCTGAGATGTGCTTGATTGCAGGTGGATGTGATCCATGGCTGAATTTGGTAATGGGCTAAAATACAGACATTCATTTCACTGAAAGCAAGACTGGCCTATGCTTCTGTGTCATTTAAACCAACTCAAAACATATTAAGTCCATAGTTCTCACCAGAAAAATCAATACCTTCTCATTAGGCTTACTGTTTAAGCCTTCTTTTTGACTGCACTGCTATTAAAAAGCAAAATTCAGCAATAATGGAACAAGCAAATGCTACTGAATTAAATACATATTAGTAAATAAAAAATAAAAATATTACTAATGTAAAAAAGCATTAGATTGGTAAATATCTCTAAGCATCTAGTATTCAGCCAGTTAAGTTTTCCTGATATCTTGAATTTATAGGTACTGCCTTATTGTCAGTGAAATACCCTGAAACCATACTTTTCAAAACCATTTATTTATAAGGCCTTTGTCTTCTTATTAGCCTACCAACAGCATTACATATAGCAATGTGAAGATTACCAAATAATAGGAAAACTGACCCTTTTATGTCTTTTAACCAGTTTGAATATACGATATGTGCATAAATGGATAGTTTGTTTCAACAGCAAGCAGTTATGCTCTGATTTCTGTGAACATTTATGGAAAAAAAAAATAAATAAAATGAAGTTAAAACCCACTTTGTACTCTCAGATGCTAACACATTATTTCATAATTGGACTTTCCTTTTATGCCCTACTGATACAGCTGTGGTTAGTCCAGCTGAATACTCTACAAGAAATTACTATGGTCCTCACTCATAATCCCAGCCATAACCCTGATGGGTAAAAAAAATGGGCAGTTTTTTAGTTTAAATTCTTTAAAGTACAGCTTGCTGACTTACATATTCATGTCAAGAAAAAAAACATGTTGAGTGAAGTGAAAAAGCACAAGCTCCTCATATAAAATGCTTTAGGCTTTTGGGGGTCTGGCAGAGACATTTGAAGTTCATGGAACAGCACACATTGAATGCCAAGTCCAAGATGAAATATTACAGAATCCACTGACCTGTGTTTAAGTTTAGAGGTATAACACCTCAGTCTTTCACAGAAAAGCAAAATTGTAATCACATCACTCAATTATTAGATCCATTTATTAAACCTCAGCAAGTGAGCCAAACATAACTCACCTTGTTTATTTTCCTGAGTAATTTGCAAATGAAATTAGTTTCACAATAGTGCAAGTTTTGCAGTCAGATTAAAAAGTGGCTGAAAACAGAATGGATGCCATTTGAGATTCACTTCTTTAAATCTGCCTTTTAAAGGAATTGAAAATGAAATCCCTGTGTTCTTGGGGAGCAGCCATTAGAAAGAATGATACCTATGACATCTGCATCAGCAGAAAACCGCTTACCAGGAATTCGTGTACCAGAACAAGAAATAGGCACTATTTCTTTTTTTGTTTATTTCTTCTAGAAGAACATAAAGTATAAGTGCTGTGCTATTATGTCCTTAAAATATCACTCCAATATTTTGTAAAGAACTTCCAACTGACCTCCACAAATTAAAGGACTTCCCAGTGAGATCAATCTTTTAGAGTCCAGGAAGCTCATTGTAGCTTCTTACTTGGCAACTCATAGAAAAGATTGTGCGCAGTCATAGGCATTCAATTTAACTGGAAGATAAAATAGCACAATTACCAGATAGGAGTATCTCATACACGACATAAGTGAGATTAGATGGCTTCACTTTAGCTGCTTGCTTCGAGTCTTGCGTGGTCAGATCTGGACCTAATAAGGTTGAGGGAGAAGTGAAACATTATGATCCTACAGAAGTAATCAGGGAGCAGAGATTCACTATGGTATTGTTACTGTATTTTTTGACAACAGAGACTTTTCCAAAGGCTGATTCCTACAGAGATTCTTTACATACACCTTGTGTTAATGGTCAGAATTTTAAGAGTATCAGAGTTTTACAACCACTGGTACAGTGCCACTGCCATTTTAAGAGAACAGCCTCTGGCTTTTTCATATAATAATTATGAATGTTAAAAACATACTGGGAGAATGGAATAGCTACCTATTTTACAAACTAATTCAGAGAGCCACCTATAGACATTGCTAAAGCCTACTGGCTGGTCTCCAGAACTGTATGAGCTAAAAATCAATCTTTAAGTATGACTCAGAAAATTAATTAAACAACAAACCAAAATGTAAAACCAAGTAAGCACAAAGCAAGGAAAACAAATGGGATGACAGGCGGTGGTTATTCTCAGAATCACTACAAGTTAACACAGCCAGGGAGATAGATGTAGGTTATCTACTCCAGAGGCAGCTCCACTAAATGCCATGGGCTTCACTGGAATCTCATCCAAAGTTTCTCACTGCTCTGCAAAATTCTTTCTATCAGTATGGAAGGAATATAGACTTCCTTACACACACACAAAAAAAAATGTTTGACACCATCACAGACCAAAAGGTACTTCCTTCCTTCCAGAAAAGAAAATCACATTTAAATGGACTTGAATGGCGAGCAAAATCATAGAATCATAGAATAGAATCATAGAATGCTTGAGGTTGGAAGGGACCTCTAGAGCTCATCTAGTCCAACCCCCCTGCACACGCAGGGTCACCTAGAGCACGTGGCACAGGACTGCGTCCAAGCGGGTTTGGAAGATCTCCAGAGAAGGAGACTCCACA